ATAGTGTGAGGCCCGCAAGAGAAAAAGTTGACTTATTTTAACGCTGCCATTGAGGCACCAACCATCTGCTTGCATGCTTACTGTCCTGTAGAGCACCAACCTTCAGACTGACTCGGTGGTGTGTAGAACGACCCATATTGCAATGGTGAATCCATAATATTATACACAAAAGTCCTGAACAACTGTCACTTCTACAACTTCCACATCCACTGCAGTTGGAAAAGGTGAAGAAACACTGAAGAAAAGTAACTTAGCATCAAACAAGTTGTTCTCTCTCTGACAATGTCCTGATTTGTTGCATGCTTTGCACCTTTTGGCCTACTTCTTCAAGGTTTAACAAACATTTTTAAATAAAATATAGACTGAATGCTTTAATATATTTTTGTGAATACAGATTTTTTTCTTTTTCTTTTCATTTACAAGTCTTATTGAAATGTGTTTATTTCTTGAACATAAGGTAGAGGTAGAACTTGGTCGAAGTTGAAGTCACACCACGTTAATTTATTATGTATATATCACAACACTGCATCTATCCTCTCATTTCCCTGGAAAGTGAAGACATCTCCATGACTGAATGCCTTCGGTTTGGAGCCATATTCAGACTGCATTTCTGGTACATTTTCACTGTAGACTTGATTGCTTTCTTTATGCGTTCATGCCACTAGCTTGCCTTTCCTTCGGCAGTTTGGAGTAGCCCTCTCACCTTCCATGAAGGCACAACGGACAACAGAATACTACCTATGAATGATTCGTGTTTATGACTGAAGTGGATTCTTATGTTCATTTATTTACTGGTTCAAACGCCAGACTGTACTTGAGGCGCAAAGCTTTTCTTTTCAGGATTTCACGTAGTTCTGCACATGTATGCTCTGAATGTGTAAATGCACACTTCAGCTTGACGGACAGCCAACAACAGAGAGGACACCAGTCTGTATTTTATTGTCCTTTTATTTCTAATACATGGGAAGTTGGATTAATGTTGTTCACTCAGTTGTCGGTTGTTCCAAGTAGAAACTGAAAATCTTTGTGATTTTGTTTATTTGAATTTATGATACCTTTTTCAAGTTTTCTTGTGTAATAATGAGATTATTAAATGTAGAATATAAATAAACCACACCAGAAAACTTTTGAAGTGTTTGTGAAAGTTAATTTCTTTGGAAATAAAATGTGAATATTGAAATTGTGTGACACTTGCATTGTAATTGTACTGAGTCATATACGAAAAATATGCCTGAAACGCCTCCATTATACTCCTTTGTTTACTTCTGTAACATCACTACATAACACTTGCGCTTCTATTGGCTAGTGCTTCAACACATAGCACTGATAGGCTAAGGCAGGGGTGGCCAACCCGCGGCTCTCGAGCCGCATGCGGCTCTTTGCCTAGTTTCATGCGGCTCTTCAGTTCATATCGAATTGTATATGTGTGAGTTTGGGGGAGAGACACTGACTCCTGACTAGTGTTGCACGGTGTACCGATACTTGAAAGGTATACCGCGATACCCTGCCGTTAAAAACGTTACGATTCCTCCGTTTCATTAGTATCGGTACTTTAAGAATGACGGGGGAAAGTACTCCGGTGAGAAAGCGCTGTTTTAATAAGAGCCGTGTGTGTTCAGCGCTCTGCTTCCACTCCCTGCACTGCAGCCGTGCCTGCAGTCCCGCCCCTCTCAAGCACGCTCTAAATTCCTCCCCTCTCTCGTGCACGCGCTAGCTGCCAGAGCATGTGAGAAAACGAGAAGCATGGCTGCAAGTGGGAGTGCAACTGCCGCTGCGCCTCGGCTTGTTGACAAAAAAGACGCCAGAAGCTACATCTGGAAGTATTTTAGCTATATCTCTGACAGTGAGGGCAAGCCTACGGACACCACGAGGCCTGTCTGTGAGAAATGTATTAATGTTATTTAATACGAATTCTTGTCATTTATTGTATTTATTGTTCTCATTGTTTAAAAGTTTGTGTTATGGTTATGATTCTGGTGTGACATAAAGCACAATAATTACATTTAAGACTGTTTCCCGTTTTTTAAGAAAAATAATCGGAATCGCAATTCTTGACTTGGTATCGAAACCAAAATGTTGGTATTGTGACAACACTGACAGTTAAACCTGATATTTAGTAGGTCTGTTAAGTATTGAATGCTGATCATTCTGACGTAATTTGGCCGGTCAAAGTTGTTTGGGCTCGGATAAAATCGCTCCGTTACTTTGGTCCCGTGTTACCCTTGTCCCGGCTCTCCCTACGTGTGTATGTGTGGTGTCAGGTGTCAGTATGAGAGGATGACAGCGCGTCTAATTTTGATGTGGCCCAACAGCCAATCACAATAATACCTGCAATGCAGTGAACCAATCACCTTTGAGGGGGGGGAAACCTATTGTTGATTAAACACTATTCAGTGTTTCCCCTACCATTGTCTTGGAGGGGCACTGCGAGCTGCCAACGGAGCCCCGCGCCCCCCCTGAAATTCAAGGTGTTATATATATACTTTTTAAAAATATATATAGAATCAAATTGCAAATAATCTATAACTACTGTCACTTTTCACATTGAACATGTGCTCTTTTATTAAATAAACTAAACGCTTTCATTTTAATTTGTGGGTTTAGTGTTTTTGACCCTAAGAAACACTGATGCATTAATCAATAACAATAATCCACAGCTCCTCTCTCTGCTTCAGAGGATTTTAAAAATATATCCCAATGCCACAAAAATGAATCAGTGACGTGGTTGAAATCTTGTCTCCAGAAAACAAAAAACTGAAACAAGCGGTATCAGTGACTGTGTGTTTGATGTGGCTCCTTGCAGTAACATAGAAAACATGTGGCTCTTAACCTCTGACTGGTTGGCCACCCCTGGGCTAAGGGGTGGGACATCTCTAGTTTGAGACAGGGTGAAAAAATGGGGTCTTGTCTGGTGCCTTGCGCAAAGCAATACATATTGGCAAAATGTTAGCATATCAGATATAGGCAAAAAATAAATCATACATTTGATCAGTATCAATGGTTCTTTGAAGTACTTATGAACAACTGCAAAGTTTGTCATCACTTCACAAGGTCAGCGGCTGAGATTCCAAACCTCTTCTAATAACTAAGTTCCAACTAATGCTCTTCTCAGTATCATTCACCTGGAACAACAAACACCTCTCTGTGCACAGGGAGGGATTATTGCCTTGTTAGGGGGAGTAAAAGCGAGTGTAGGAAAGAGAAGATGACTAATGTAGTAGGTCAAAGTAGAGAAATCTTGGATAGGAAAATTAAGCCATCTTTCATCACCTGATGTTATTTTATGATCTATTCAAGTCAGCTTTCCAACTGGCTTATAGTTCTGGTTTAACACTGTTAATTTAAGCCTCCCTGTGACATTTAACATTCAACAAAATACCAGATTACCGTCCAAAGATGATCTTGATTCATCAGCGTCAATCAGCATGTGAAGCAAGTGAGGGAGACAGGAGCGGAAGAGGAATTACGGCTCCAACCCAAATCAGTTTAGTTGACATATATCATTTTACAATCTCATCTCAATAACATCTCTGACATCTTCATTTCAATCTCAGTAAAAATAGACAAAAGCTTTCTGTTCTCTAATTGGATAAATAATGGGATAGTAAGGGTATTCAAGCTTTTGAGAACAAACATACTGAGACTGAACATGGGCAGATAGGCGTATACTGTACATCTTATTTTTATGATCCAGAAGAGACTATTCCCATCAGGCTATAAATATTACATTAAAGTTACTAATACCTCTTTATCCAACACTCAGGTATACTGTGACAGAGCCTTCTCAGATCTGTAATTTCAAATCATTCTTTATTCATATGTTGAAGTTGATCCTATATTTATTCATGTGAATATACAACACCGTCATCAGAGGTCAGGGACATGGAAACCAGCAGGTTGTGCCAGAGCTTAATATAGCAAACAAAGCTGCGTACTCTCAAGGGTGTGTGAGTTTCACATTGACAACACTCTGCACAAACAAAAAAGAAAGGAATTTCTTTGTGTTGCTACTGACCTCTCAGGGAAATGTACTTTTCTACAGTTTGTTAGTGGATTCAATGACTCTTAAGAAAGAATAGATACATGCCAGGGGAGACCTTTATGAAGAACAATGTAGCTACTGGGTTAATAACTCTCCATCTCCTATTATCTCAGAAGCGCTTAAAGCTACAAATATGTGTGCTCAACCTCAGAATGTGAAAGATGATATAACAGAGGAATATCTTGCATGAAAAGAGGCTAAAAGATAAACCTACACTGTAAAAAAACGGTAAAAGTCTGGCAGCTGGTGCTTCCAAAAAATTACAAATATTAACCTGTTACACACAACACAACAAATGTCAGCCGGTAGCATACAAACTGTCAATGTTGTCAAATTACAGTGAAATACCCTAATTACAATAATGGGAAAAAAACGTAAATTCACAGTAAATATAATTAATTTCCTTTACAGAGAAACACTGTTATTTTACAGGTTTCTTCCCTTATTTATTACGGACATATTTTAGAGTTAAGCATGTAAAAACTGTTATTTTACAGGTTTTCCCTCAATTATTACAGTCAAACACCTTCAATAAAGTGACAGAACTTGAAGTTCAGCAGTGAAACACTGTTATTTTACAGGTTTTCCCTCAATTATTACAGTCAAACACCTTCAATAAAGTGACAGAACTTGAAGTTCAGCAGAGAAACCCTGTTATTTCACAGAAGACCAAACGCCTTCAATAAAGTGTTAACACTTGCTCAAGGTTGTAAAATAAGTTTTATTTTGGAAGCAAGTGCTGTAAACAGCTAAAACAGATTAAATCATTTCAAACTTTAGCTTGCAGTGTTTGTTTAGATTTAATGTTTAAAGACAGTATGTAATGTTAAACCTATAGAAGTACAATCTAAACACAACATTTAATGATTCATTTTTTGAAGAATTACAATACAGACCTTAAATGAAACAACTTTTAATATGTAAACTAACTAGTGTGTGTGTGTGTGTGTGTGTGTGTGTGAATATATTGTGATCAAGTGTTTAGTCAGTAACAGGGGTCTGAATTTGTCCTGCAGCAGAGCCGGGATGATGGTGTTGAAGGCGGAGCTGAAGTCCACAAACAGGATCCTGGCGTAGGTTCCTGCTGTGTCCAGGTGCTGGAGGAGGAAGTGAAGTGATAACTATTAGTAAACCATAATGATGGATGTTATTATCAGCAGCTGCCAATAGATCCCCTACATCTTGTATGATGGACCTTTGAAGCAGGGTTACACATAACACACACACAAAATTGTAAAACAGTTATTGAGAGCATCCCAAGGGCATTGATCCTATGCTAAACCTTCCAGAACACCAACTTTCTAATACCTTAGAAACGACAACTAGCCATTGGCACGAATGTAATGCTTCAGCTTCCTACAACTTTAAAGCTGTATGGACGTGGCTCTATGAAGAGTCGTTCATATTTT